CAGAACTTATTGGAAATCCTCTGAGGTGCCAGGGCAAGCTGTTCCCATCAGGGGCACTCACTCCAAAACCACCCCAGGGGGGCTCTGGAGCCAGTTGCTGGCTGCTGTTTGCTACCTGTGCTGCAGGAATCTGCCCAGCATGGAACCCACAACTAGGAAAGCAAGACCCTCCTCCCGAAGTGTCTCTCCAGCACCCTCTATTGAATCAACTGGAAAGGAATCAAAGGGCCCAGATCTATTTTCATGGAGAGGCAAAGAGGGTACATATGAGTTAATAGGCAGCACATCTGTCATAGACCTATTTATTGCTAAATTCCCATATTCTGGCTTATATTGGGTGCTCAATAGACATTTGATAAAATGATAAACTGAGTGGAAAGTGTGCTTGCTAGGCATATGTCATTTCAAGGTTGGATCCCCAGGCTTAGGCTCCACTATGAATGCTGCTGCCAAGCCCCTCCTACAGAAAAACTCTGGCATCACCCCCCCATGCACACTCTGTGGTAGGGATATGACAAGCCCCCAAAGGACTTCACAGCTGGGCCAACAATTTGCAAGAACTGCAGTGATGCTAATGACAAAGGCAAAAGGCAGAGAGCAGAGGAGATAAAGCAGCCACAGCCCACTCACTTTTCCTGCGGGGCGAGGGCTGGCCACTGGTTGCTTCACTTGGCATTTTTCTGAGCCAAAATGCGAAGATAGTCATGGGTTGTGTTTTAAAGCTGCACTTAATAAAAAAATAAAGAAACACCCCGCTTTCTATAGTTACTCTTGTGTTGACACAAACTGTCAGGAAAGATTAGGAGAAAGGTCCCTGCAGCAAGCTATTTGATATTTCCTAACAGAGCAAAGTTTCCCCTTGGTCCACTGACCCTTTCAATAGCTCTTCAGCTTCTATTATTGGAATTCTCTTTTTAAGAAAAGTTTACTTGAGAGAAGGATACACACACACACACACACACACACACACACACACAAATACACACACACAGAATCCTCATTTCCTGTGTTGGGAAGTAACTGCAAGGATTTTGATAAATATGACCCAAATGATGCAGAAGCCTTCTACATGGACACAATGTGGTGTTTATTTATTAATACCATCAACAAATATTTACTGAGCACCAGCTATCAGACAATAACGGCAGACACTAGTCTGAGCATTTTGAGTACAATGGTAAACACAACCAAATCCCTGTTCTCGTAGAACTTGCTAACATTCTAGCTAACGTGGAGAACATGGAACTTTCTACAGAAACACGGTGGGTGATTTCACAAACTATTAAAAAGTTCCGGGGGAACAAATAACCAGTCTAGGAATACAACATGGTTGTGGCTGGTCTTCTTAGAATAGACATCTTCCTAGGTTAGAAATGACAAGATATCACTGGAATCTTTTAACTTTTGATTCTTGGGAACATTTCAGGACAGTGCTGGCCAATGGAAATATGTGAGTCATGTAAGATAATGACAAATTTTCTGGTAATCACGTTAAAAAATTTAAAAAAAACAGAGAAAATTAATTTTAGCAATATATTTTAATTAATCACAAACTATTATTATTTTGACATGAAGTCATTATACATTTTCAAGATATCTCACTTTTTTTTTCCTACCTAAATCCTTCAAAAATCGTGTGACATGTACTTATAACACTTTTTGTCTGGCCGCATTTCTAGACTCGACAATCCCATGTAGCTAGTTAAGGTACAGAGGAGGTTCAAAAAAAAAACCCAAAAAACAAAAAACTGCAAAAGCAGTTCTCCATCTTCTTGTTTTGGAAGTGGACGAGAAGATATTTGCTGAATTGAAACATTCTACACTCTAGTTCCGGGTTTTGACTACAACAGTTTCCCTTTGCATTAGCCTTCCACAGTGGCCAGTGCAGAAGGTCCGTAGAATGTGCTAGATTGGACAATGCTATCTATTCTTTCCCTGAAGAAAGGGAGCGCTTTAAGAAAAATGGTTTTCTATGAATGCTGGAACCATCAGCCAACGTCTGAGGTTAGATAAGTCAAGACATTCACAAATCAACATCCCAACTCAGACTATTACACTAGCTAATCCTCTACTTGACTTTTTCCGAATTCCTTCTCATTCCCAAAGGTTAGAGGCTTTCTAGGGAAAGCTGTGAACCCCAGCTGCCTCCCTGCCCATCGCTGTACCTGGACTATGAATCGAGAAGCGGCGTGTCCCGGGCCGCCCTCCTTTCCCTGGACTTTTCTCTACGGATGCCCCTATCCCCACCGAGGCTGCCCCTCTCGCAGCCACTACCCCTAGGCTGTCCCCACCAGCCCGCCATCTCTCGGGGTCCGCGCGGCCCCCTGCTTTATTTCAACACAAACTTCACTTGCTCCTCCAACAGGCTAGGTGGAATCTGGGGGAGCTGGGCGGCCTTTCTCCCAATCTAGTGGGGAGAGTCGCGGGACGCGCAGGGGCGTTTTCTTTCCGGTGGCCGGGGCTGGCATCTCGTTGACCCGCTCCAGTGGCAACTGTCTGAGGGGACTTAAACGTGGCCCGCCGGGCAGTTTCTCTAGCAATCTGGCGACCCTCGTGCACAAAGCTCCAGCCTTACCCAGAGACTCTACAATCCCGCCCTCGCGACTCCCAGGCGCAGCGCCTCTGGACGCTTTCTTTCAGTTATTTAGTGGGAGGCGGCTCCGCTTCTGGGTTAAACGGCAATCACAACCGCCCCCCCC